AGCTGCACACACGTACACTTTGTGGTCACACATGGTTTTACCCTCACAAAGACAAAGCCATGGAGATTTTATCTCTTATTTTACATATGGAGCATGCAAAAATGTTTGCAAGCTCCAGTGTTTATCACACGCAAAGATCTTAAAACTACACACCCTTGTACAAAAGAAAGGAGCTACTCTGCCTTTTTTACTTCAGGTAATTCAGATCACCTCAGTTCGCTGGGCAAAAGGGTGTGTGTGGCAGCAACATTAATCTGGGACCACATCAGTAGACTTCAGTGTCCCAGAAACACTGCGAATATTCACACATAATCCCCCAAAAATCTACCCTGATATATTTCACTGGATGGATTCTACTTGTAATTTCTTATGTGGTACATTTTTCATCAAATATAAAATGTAAAATATGTCATAATGTCTGAGGTGTCACAGAGTTTGGCCGTGTTGATGCACCAGTGTGGACAGAAATTAACCAGAAATGCACCTAATAAAACCTGTTTTGTGGGACGTATCGTGATATATGTTGTTGGTTTGAGACGTCTTCACCAACGATGGCCTTTTGTACTGCAGGACACTGTTCAGTGGATCATCACTGATGAGCTTGTCACTGCAGCCAGTCAACATCTGAGATTTATATAGTCTGAACCCCTGTCTGCCGTCCCAATAGTACTACTGGAACTGCAGAGTTTAAATTGATGGCATTTTATGACTAGATGTTAGAGCTCAGGCTATATCAGATGTAAATGAATGATAATAAATCCAATCTAAAAGGGACATTTGAAAGAAAATTACTTCATTCCTGTGGTCTAGGGTAGTTCTATCAAATATTCACTTCAAGACTTTGCCTGTGATCTGGCCAAGATGTAAAATCCCATAGGGAGTGAAATGAGAAAGATGTAGAAGGTGATGGTGAAAGCGCCAGCAGGGGATCTTCAGAGTTCAGATGTGATAAAGAATTTCCTCGTATAAAACCTCAAATCTGTCCACAAATCAGTTTCCCAACTATTATTTGATTTCTGTGATTGTCTGAAACATCAAAGCCTGGAGTCATAGCTCTCTGGTCTCTGACTTTAAGAGAGATAACATTAATTGGACTCGATCATGGGAATAAAACATATGCGCACAAATTCCCTTTCAAATTCATGCTTCTTAACTACATGTAATATTGATTGATAAAATCAGTCCTGAATGTGGATGGGGATGATATACGGGTTCGAGATTTGTAATGTGTGCCATAAATATTACCAAAAATAGAAATGAAGCTAATTAAAAATACTAATAAATACACTTGGCTAGGGATGTCCTCTATGGCAAATCAATATTTCAGTCTTTTGCCTCACATGGGTGTTCAAGCTGTGATATGGCTATGTTGGTAATCTTTTTAAACAGCCATTGCAGCACATCCTACACTCGAGGGATGCAGAGCCCCCTCCCCACCTCTCCCTCCCCCCTGAAGGCAAAAGTCTTAGTGTGCAAGCCAGCTGGTGATCAGGGAGTTATTGGCAGCAAAATGATTTTAGGCCCTTGATTGACCATTTTTGCAAGCTTTCGCAGACAGCTGACCAAACTAGGACACCGTGTTGAAGCTGAGGACAGTTAATGAGCGTATTGACATCACATCCCCTGGGCGGCTGCAGAAATTATATTGTATGTTGGTGTAAATAATGTCCACCTACTGTACCATGAGATTAAGCTCATATTCACTGGCCTGCCATTAGGAACTTTCTCTGGGAGGAGCTGGACATCGATGAGGCCAGCTGTTCTTCGTGGCCGTGCTGTAAATCTCATTGGGTTTTTTGTAAGGTTTTGTTTTAGGTGGCGAGAGTCAAAACCAATCTGTCAGCTGTGTAACATCGTCTTTTTCTGCTGTGACTGACTGGGAATCAGACAGGCCTCCTGGGCTGTGTTGTCCGCATTGCTTAATCAGAACGAGGCAGTTATTGTTGCACATAATCTCATCGGTATAAATAGACAATAAAAAAGAGGAAATGGCACGGCCCTGGGGGACACTTGTGTTTAAAACCGGTTCATTAGATAGACAGCCATTCCATTTAACATGCCAGAGCTGGTTGCATAGAAACTCCTTGATCCATAAAATCAAATGGAATGGGTTCCCAATTCACAGAGGTGTTTGACCAGAGTTTTTGGGTGTTGCAGGATGAGGTAAAGTGCATTGAAAAGCTGCTACTGTTGAGGTGTTCAGGTATAACAAAGGGTAAAATTCCAAAGTTGTTTTGTTTTTCGGATAATTTCCCAAATTTCACCCTCATATTCTATACGCACAACTGCATTTTCAGGTAGAAATAGGGGTAAGATCCATTTAATAAAAAAAGTCACATGATGCTCAGTCAGGGCTGATATGTGACCTTGTAAAACCTTTTATTCATGCACTTTTCATCATCCTCTGGCCTCCTAGTTGTTAGCTATGGGGATTTTTTTTGGTGAAATCAAAAGTGGTTCACATTTTATCATTTCAATACAAACTGTTTCCCTCCTGTGACACACTTTGTATAAGGATATTGTGCAGAACTTCCACATTATAACAAGTTTTTTGGATATTATTTTTGAAACAGCATCGGATTCAGATTGCTGACTAAATATGGATTTGGTTGCCAATAGAAAAAAAACAAAACACTGAGACACACACACACACATTTCTTTCTATCGGCCATTTTTGTCCCTCGGGGTGTCAGCAGCATAAGTCTGTTCATTAATCCAGCCCGTCTCAAGCCTTTAGGGTGCACTGTCCACTGATGTGATTGTAAGATGCTGATAGAAACTGCAGCAGTCCTGCATGCTATGTAAAAGGTAGACTTCTGGTTACTACAGCAAAAACAATTGCTCAGGAGCCTGGCTGGGCAATTTTTAAGGCATTTCCTTTTTTTGTCTGTCTCAGTTTTATTTTATGGCACACCGGATACAAGTCGCACCCTCTCTGTAGTAATAATTCAGTGAAATCACAGTTTTTACTCCTTAAATGACATGCATGTGCACCCTTTTTTTTCATAAATCATTTGTGCTTGGGGGCCATAATGCATCACATCAACGTAGGCTCTCAGCACTTCCTCAGCAGTTACACTGTAGTTTTGCCTCACAAAGTGCATTTTAAGCAGCAAGTAAAGGCCTGCCATCACTTGTATGTTCAAGCACACTGTCACTGCTCGATTCCTTTCTGCCTCCCTGTCTTTCTGTCTCTCTCTCTTTTTAACACACACACACACACTTATATTTCAATTTTAATCAAAGTGACAAAGTGGGAGCAGAATCGGATTTGACAGGTTTGCATGTGATTAATTAGTTTAATAACTGTTGCAGTGTGGCAGACACATACTATAGCTGTGATTAGGTTATGAAAACAAATTTATGCATTTTCTGATTGGGAAAATCATAAAATTCAAATTCAAATTGGGAGACGAATTATTTATTAATCATCATGAAGTTTACACAAAGTGTGGCACTTTATGAAAAATACGTTTTAATGGCTAAAGGTCATGGCTGATTTTGTTTAGTTCTTTAGTTTCCTCACTCCTAATATCGGCCATCCAAGTGACCCCAGTTTGGTAACATTATGCACTGAGCCTCACTGGGTCTTGAAGCAGCATATTGCCTGAAGCAGCACAGCAGTTACTATCATGTTTAAAGATGACTGGGATTTCTCAGGTGGCAGTCAGCTTAAATAATGGTTTAACTTGGCAGTTAACAGTGACAGGAATGTATTAGTTGCAGAAGGGAAATGGTTTTTCCTATCCAGTGAGATAGAAAAGACCCAACTAAAGCACCACACACACTGTGTAATCAATGGAGATGATGGAAAACTTCCAAACACAAAATGACACAAACAGAATACTCACTCAATGGGTATCCTGTAACAAATCCTCTAAAATGACTGGTTGCTTTTGCTTTGAACAAGAAATATTGAGTTATAGTGAAAATTAGAAGTTGTATAAATGGACACATAAATATGGACGAAATTATGGCAACAATATTCATCAAAACGTTTGCAGAGGTGAGACTTGACAGATACTACATTTCATTTACATGAGTTAATGATTGAATTGGTGTGGATGTTAATTGACATCAATATGAATGTCATGAGACTACA